GGGTCCAGTCCGCCACAACAAACAAAATTTCGATGCCTTCATCTTGAAGTCATCAAAGACATTATTAAAGCTCTGGAAAGAAAGAGCATCTCTGGAGGGAATGATGTCATCTGAGATGTCTGATGTGCGAAACATGGGAATTGGATACGTCCTCACCAATTTATTTGCCAACACTGTTACCGTCCGTGGTACACCACGCCACTTTGCCTCATCTTCTCCTTGTCATTGCCGTGATTTCCCGTTTTTGGTGATGCTCTGCTCCTTAAGAGCTTCAAGGACATTGTCCACTCGTGCTTGGTCCCACAGAATTTCTAGGAGCAACATTGGTGTTGGCTATGGGGGTATGTCACTGCGCTACAGGTCTACGACGGACTTATTTCGCTTTCTTTGACACTTTGGCACGCATTTTCAATTTTAGTTCCCATAGTGTTATCTCCCAACAAAACATGTCTGAGCGCTCTCTCGGTTGTTTGTCTCTTCTTTGATTTCATATCATAGCTTGTAGCGTTACATATAGCCCGTTCTCGATGCTTTTCTTTTCGCCGTCTACGGTTCCCCTCCCCTCAACAATGCAGTGCGTACATATATTGTCGGACGGAAGTGGTTTTATGGAGTCTCGGATATATGGAACTTGTTCAGCAATTCCGGGGAAGAATGGAGAGGGATTAGCGCATAATTGATGTTGGGTGAACCTTACCATGATCGCTAAACTCCACTCGTCAGGGTTACAACCATGGTCAGCAGTAATCACCAACAAGGATTCGCCAATCCATTTCCTGAGCTCAGATTGACAAGCCAAGCAAATAAAAAATCGCAAAATAGGAATACTTGCACGTTATCTAAAGGCCAATAGTTTCTCAAACCATTCAATATATCACATCCTAGCAAAAATGTCAGTTTCACCCAGCTACATCTACTAGCTAACCCATTTACTCAATAAGCTCATTACACTTCCAGTCAATCAATGACGACCTTGTATCCTTCATTTCCCTGCACACTTGGAAGAACCATAAAAGTAGGGCGGGTTTACAGACTCATCGACGCTACGATACATGGCCGAAAACCCCCCTTGATGTGACGTCATCAAAACTACACGCATGTAATCTACATGCATCAGTCAGTTGGCAAGCTGCTTGAGCGGTACAACAACCCGGTTATAAAACTCCAATGCTGGGTGCCAATCATTAAAGCCCTCACTTGCAGTAGTGGCAGCAACGGTATCAGCCGTAGCTCTCCCGTCTATGGTGCCGTCGACGTCATTATGCCGATCAGCGAAGCCCAAGCACCATTTCACGACATCAAAATATGCCGTGCCAACTCGAAAAGGTAACTCACGGTTCGTTCGCGAGGTCACACGCCTTTGCAGCTCCAGCGCTTCGGGATGCTGGAACCGTTTCATAGTGGAAGAAAGTTGAACTGAGGTAGCGGAGGTGCTAGTAGCTGGAGCTGTAGTTGTAGTGTTTGAAACACGGTTCTTTGTCGATGATGCAGAATCATTGGACAACTTCGCATCTAGGAATGACGAGAGAGGCGCCCACCACGCGATCTCTGCCAACACGAGTCCAAAAGAGTAGATATCGTAATCAATCCGGTATCCCTGGGCCGCATCACCTTGGTAGTTCGGGTGCCTGTAGATCACTGGCCTGATATCGTCATGGAACCGGTTTTTGTCGATTGTTTGTGTCTCTTTCTCTTGTCGAGAGTAATTGAAACCTGCAACTAGTGGTGATAAAAGCAGACTAGAGTCGGTGACGAGCGGCCATTGTTCCTTTTTTTGATTAGGTTTCATTTCATACAGGGCCGGGAAAATGATATTTTCGCTGCGTATATTTTTATGTAGCCAGCTGCTGCTATAGAGCTCAGACAGTGTAATGGCAAGCTTGCTGGCGAGGCGAAAGCGAGTTTCCAGTGATGGTCGCAGCTTCGATTCCAGCAGAGAAAGAAGCGATACTGGTCGAATCGAGACCGTGGTCGGGATAATTGCTGGTATGATCGTTGTTGGGAATTTAAAGACTATCCACCAGCAATGATTTGTCGGATCGAGAATAAGCCCAATTGCTTGTAAGGTTTGAAAATCTGGAGACTTGGTTGCACTTAGCAGGAGAACGAGGCGGTTCACTCTCATCGTTAGGATGTGCTTGTCTTGCATGGATATATCGCTATCATAGGACTTCTTTTCTAGAAGGACATAGTCGCCGGACTGGATACTTTTAGCCACGAAACGATTCTGCGTCTGATATCCAGCAGGGGTCGAAAATTCCGTCATCATCAAAGGGATGAGAGCTGCTGAACAGGAGTGTGGCCCTGCGGGCCGCCCATCAACCAATGCTTTTCGCTCCACCAACGCACGGATCGATGAAGTTTGTGGCTCTTGTCCAAGAGCATCTCGGATCCACTGAAGAGACCCATCATCATTGGCATTCCCCACAAAGACAATATCAATTCTTTTCTGATCGTCTATTACAGATCTTTGCTGCGTTTCCGAAAGTAGTTGGCTGAGCTTTGCAACGTATGATTCGAGATCGGCTATCAGTTTCCGGAACTGCTTCCTATCCTGAACAGCCCATCGCAAGCGTTTTGCCCGTCCGATAAACCGACCTGCCTCAGATTCACACGGCTGCTCAATTTCATTTCTTGCTTCAGTTTCTGCTCCAAAATCGAGTTTAATGCCACTCGCTCGAATTGATTTTCTCATCTTGCTGATGAATCGCTTGACTTTGTCCAGCTCCACCGCTTCAGACCGTGAGGCACAGAGACCATACCTATCACGTAGCTCATCGGCATTTTTGAATAGTTCACCAATTACTTGCAGTGTTCTTTCCACAATTTCATATATTGGAAGCAAGCCTGGAGAGAGCCCGCCCTCTGCGAGCCCGGCATTTTTTGCCCATGTTTGGAAGCGGAACCGTTCAAGTTCAAGTTGGAGAAGTAAGTCTTCTGAGTCTGAAGAGTAGTGTAGGGCATCTTGGAATATATGCCATGCATGGTCAGCCCCTTGATATGCGAGGAGAGTTAATGCAATGATGGCTCCTGGGTCGAGCATTGTCAATGGGAACGAAATATAAGCGATAAATATTAGGTGATTATGTATGACGTTAACTCTGGATCAGGGTCCGGCAACCTTAATTCGACATCAAACGTTCAACCTCACTTCAATTGCATTTATCCATACCTCCATACATTTTCAGGAGATGGTCAACATTTGATAAGTTCTCTGTCCATCTCTCTGGATGCGTTTCAGCCTTGGCTTCGCCAAGCGCGAACAAAACCTCTTATTTGTGACTCGCGCTGGCCAGACCAGATCCGTGCGTATTTCTATCACGCGGGTGAAAAAAAAGAAAAGAAAATTGAGGGCATCCATGTACGAGGACTTTCACTGGTCTGGGTGGCCACAATGGTATCTGGCATGTACGCAGTATGCCACCCATGCACTGCTGGACTGCTGGACTGGTCGTAAGCGAGAGGGCTTGGAGTGGCTTTATTGCGCATTATCTCGAGGCTGAATACTTTGGAGGGGTAAAACCGCATTCTGAGGTCCCCCAATTCAACATTGAGTGGGAGAATGACAAGAACGACTGGAACTGATAACAATTCTCTGGTATCTCATGTGCTGGTGCTTGGTGACATGAATTGGATACACTCCATGAGGCTATCATGACAACATTACTCTACCCATCTGCTTTCGAGTCGGAGGTTACGGGGGCTCCCGACCCTGCTCTACCCGATGCAGAGGTGCACAATTCAAACCCCTCGCAGGACTCAGAATGGTCGCCTCAGGGAAGTCTTGCATCTTTCATATGCCATGCTTCATATTTACAAAATGAACTTCGCACGGATAACTCGATATTTGTCGATGACAACAACAGGATCAAATCGTTATCCAGGCATAAAATTGGATCAGGTGCTTCTTTCATCGTAGAGCGTGCTGAATGGCTAGCTGGAGTTCATCAGCATGATGTATCCTTGTCTCAACGATTCTCTAAATGGGGACAATATATTGCGATAAAGAGTGTGCGCGAAAGGCCCCAATTACGGTTGGTAGTGATGATTTATTTAGCCTTACGTTTTCTTGAGTCTAGACATTAACTGATAAACGAGTTCTAGCAACAGACGGAACAATTGGAGCGATGTAGCTCTTGAACTGCGTGCGCTGTTGCATAAACCGCTACGATACCATCCCAACATTGTCCATTTGTTGGGACTCGGATGGGGCTCGTCCGCTGAATCAGACTCTGCATATCCGAAGATCATTATCGAATATGCTACATTCGGTTCATTTCGTGATGTCCAGGTCTACAATCCTCCGCTGCCTTTTGCCATTAAACAGAAACTTTGCCATGATGTTGCTCGTGGGCTTGCAATTCTTCACGCGTGCGGAATCATCCATGGAGATCTGAAACATGAAAATATCCTTATTTTTGCCAACAACTATGACATACCAGATGGCCAGCCATACACTGCAAAACTGGCAGATTTTGGTGGAGCGGTAATGGACATTGGCCAACGTGACTTGTCATGTCTATCTATGGGAACCTACCCGTACCAGGCACCCGAATCTTCACAGCGACTCTCTGCTGACGGAATAAAGCAGACGGATGTTTACTCCTTCGGGCTGCTGGTGTGGAGAAGCTTTATCGACGGAAAAAGTATCGCAACGGAGTTGGGACTAGATTCCAAGCCAACGGAGTCTTCTGAGACATTAATCCAGGAGCTGAAACTCAGCGATGAAATCCTTCTAAAAGCAGTGTGCAGTATTCAGAGCTATTCTTCGAACAATGGGATCAGTGATCGCGCGCTGGAATTGATCTTGTATGTGTTAGCGCAAACAATCCTGGTCGAACCAAAGGATAGGTGTCTCTCTCGAGCACAGTCAGCACTGAGAGGCATGCACATTAACAAAATAGATTCATTTCTTCAGAAAGTCGCTGCTGCGAATGATGAGAGGGATGATATCGAGGGTACTGAACCGCCGGGGTCGCACGGTATGACCGCTGACAACATTGGCTTCTTTCTTGGGAACTTAGGTAACGATTATGATTGCCAAAGAAATACCCCGGGCTATCGACAGAAGCTGTCACATCCAGATATAGGGGAATTTTTATTCGAACCTGAGAAATTAAAGGAAATTCTTGACTGGGTTCAACAGCAGCAGATTGTCGACGATTTCAGGGAGGCAGCTCGAAAAAACAGAACAGGAACCTCTGATGGCCTACAGCCGTGGAAAGCTGCATATTACCTGTTTCAATGCTACCTATCTGGATTTGGAGTAACATTTGACGGTAAACAAGCGTGTCATTGGCTACAGGAATCTGCCGATGCTGGTGATCAGGGTGATGTCGACTACTGGGCGATGGCTTGGTTATTGCGCGTTAGCACCGCGCTTTCTGTGCCGATATCTCTTACGCTGGATGAGCTACAAGAGTACATTCGATGGGGCATTATAAGAGGTCATCAAAACTGTCTTGAGGACGGAAGAAAAATAATTGAGCAACTAGCCAATACAGATGAACGTGTACGATGGGAAAGTATGATGACAGAGGCGGATTGGGTCAGGAGAACTGTAGCTGGCGGGGTCGGAATGCCTCACTTTGTCCCTAGAAAATTACGCCGATGTTACGATCTGGATGATATTTCGATCCTTGAAGGTCAGATCAAGGATGAACTTGGAACGAAATATAATTCCTGTTTGCGGAAGAATCTTTCACGTCCTTTTTTGAATTTTTTCGGGAAGAACCAGAAAGCAGAGTTCACAACAGCCGAAGAATCTGAGTTTGATAAAATTTTTGTTAACCACAAGGGCCACGGTCTCCTACATTTTGCTGCAATTCTCGGAAAATTGAGAGCGCTGAAGTACATGGTTGAAACGTATTTGTGCAGCATTGACCTACCAAATAAATCCTTGGCTGAATCACCTCTTACATGTGCTTGTCGCAGTGGCCACTTTGACTGTGCCATGTATCTCGTTGGATGCGGTGCCAATGGAGGGGGAACAAAATACGGTGAAGAAGCTCCTTTGCACTGGCTTTGTAGCTTCACTCCTGAAAAAATGGGACCTCTTGCAAAAGCCTTAGTAGATGCCGGCGCTAATATAGAACATTCCAGTGGTACAATGCGAAAAGACGTTAGAATGATAAATGCTGACTGGGAGGACAATTTTGGCATTGTAACAACACCGCTAGGGAGGGCTGTGTTGATGAGGAGCCTTCCTGCTGTAAGAGTCCTCCTTGAACTCGGCGCAAATCCCTTAGCCAAAGTGGGACATGAAAACAACATTAATGTCAAATCCCCCACGGAGCTAGCGGCTGTACTTACTCTTCCTCATATTCTGGAAGTATTGCTCCTATTCATCGACCAAGTGCTTCTAGAAAAGACGCCAATATTTGACGAGATCGGCATGCTTCGAGCTGCTCATGAAAAACGAATAACTCCATTTGATCCAACTACTTTACAAAGCAGGTTGGTTCGTTGCGGTTCTAATTATCAGCAGTGGATGCTTCAGACGCTTCAGATCTTACACCGAAGACACGAAAGACTTCGGGATTGGAGAAGTCTAGATTCCGGGAAACTAATGGAGGGCATGCAGTTATGTCAGGAAATAAAGCTAGGAAATTACGATATTGTGGAGGCACTGTTGGAGCTAGGACATAGTGCAAACGGCTCTCCTGGCCACCGACCTATCGAGGAGGCAGTTTTGATGAACCATGAAGCCATTTTCCGACTTCTAGTCAACCGTGGCGCACTAACGGGAGTAAAACGCACCGGTTATAATGGAAGACAGTTCTCTTTGCTCCAGATATCTGCTAGCCGTCCACGAACATCTCATAATGGAACCTTTATAGCAGAGTATCTTATCCGGTCAGGGATGGCTATCGAACCATTACCAGATGGAAGTCCATCAAGTTTAGCGCTGGCGATCAAAAATCGCTACTTCGACCTCTCCGATCTGCTTCTGGAGAACGGTGCTGATATCAATGCATTGTATCAGTCTGACAAAGGAGAAGAGTGGGTCACTGTCCTTGGTGAACTACTTCTGATGCATACGGAAGCCACCTTGCAATCACTGGCTTATATCTTTCGTAAACTAGATGCCAATTCTAATAACGTGAGTATTTCTATCAAGTTTCTAGTATATTGATGGGAACTAATATAAACAGCCTGCCATTAAAGTGGATTTCATAGTCAACAAGAAGCGAAAGCTCACGGCTCTACATACCCTCGCGCTTTGTCCCTTCAACGTGATAAACGACAGGTCTCAAGTTTCCTCCAGGGTTATTCAAGCGGTTCTTACAGCTTTCCATACTGCAGAGCATATTAACTCTGTTCATCCGATCCTAGGCACCGCGCTTTGTATAGCCAGTGTTGCAGGAAATCTAGAAATGGTAACTGCTCTTTTAGCTCATAGGGCTGATACGGAAATCCCAATGCGCGTAGATCAGTTAAATGAAAGTGATAGAGAGGACTTAGGGTTGCCCGATACAGAGTATAATCAGCAATGTGAAAACGGGGAAAGTACTCCCTTGGCTCTAGCGCAATTTGCCTTTAGCAAACAGCTCTCGGACTTTGAGAAGTCATCGTCTTTGGATATGGCTAGCTTATCGAAACTGGATTGTTTTGAGGCCATGGTTCCCCTATTCCAAAGTGCCGGAGTTCCCTATTCAGATGCAGCATGGGAATCTTTGAGAGATAGGAGAAAGTGCCTTGAGGACCGAATCAAACTCAGCACCTTGATGGCGCAGCTAACGCCAACTAATCTATCGGAGCCTGTAGATCTCTCTGTGCTGACGGATAAAAAGCCAACCAATTGGAAAGAGGGGTATGAAATGAATCAGGAAACGGCGGCAAGGACTTTGCTGAAATTTATGAGAGGTGGGTTCGATTGATTATGTACATACATCGTAGGGGTAACGTTGAATGTGGACGAGCTGAGGTTGCCCAGTTATGCCAACTTCTCGATATGCAAGAGAGAAATAAATAAGCAGCCAAGACACAACTGAAATCTTAATCATCCGCAAGTTGTCTCTTGAAAGAATTAAGGATTCAGGAGCTTGGTGTGTTTATATCGATATCAATGTCTGAATTAATTATTTAACTAACATGACTATTCTCCAATTCAAAAATCTGTTGGCAGCCCTTTCGCTCTTCCTCCGCCGGCCCCTGATATTTCCATCCAGAAAGAATTAGAGTGATAGGACCTGAAGACAATGGAAAACAGGGACGTTCAGGACAGGAAACCGCAGATGTGAAATCTACTAAGCCCACCGCCATGCATACTCCATAATCCGCGCGCACCTGTGTGCCTTCGCAATTCCAACCTTCTCTCGCTGCCCATCCTTTATCACCTCCAGCTCGCTCAACAAGTACAATGATGCGTCAAGCCCGCAGCTAATCCCTCCTGAGCTGATAACGTTTACTCCAAACCCGGGTCGGTTTACAGTGACCCACCTCCACGAATGCTGCTGCGCATTCGAGTAGCCTTCATAACCCCCGTTGCCTATATCGGGCTCAATAACTGTTCCTTGACCCGCCATCCTACAATACTCTCCCAACTTTTCAAGACCCTCATAATGGGTAGTGACGACCATGTTGCTGAATACCCCTGCTAACCCCGCCACTAGCGCCCCAGTGCATATTGACAGGAACACGCGCTTACAGCCTCGCGGAGATGGCGTAGTCATTTGCGAAAAAGTCAGGAGCAGTTGCAGATGCTCCCTCACGCTGGATGGGTCTAGTCCAAGTAGCTCTGGAGTTTCTAGATACTTTTCTATTTTGGAAATGCCGGCGCCAGGCTGGATAACGATCTCATACTGGTCGAGCTGCATCATCGCCTGGGAAATGCTGAGGGTACGATAGACAGGGACTTTCTCCGCGCTGAGAGTTGGTTGGGCGATTGTGGCGATTTCAAAGGTTATCTCAAGCCCACCGATGGCTGCACCCTTGCCCAGGACCTCGATTGGAGCATAGAGGTCCAAGGTGTCGAAGCCTGGAAAGGGGAGGAGGAGTACTTTGAGGGAATTGGGTTGGGACATGGCGATGGGGATCGCGATGGGATGTTGAGTGTGCTATAAATATTGGTTGATCAATCTTGCCCGGTTTGATTATGCTAGCTAACTATGTGGATGAGGGTGTCGGCTTTAAGGTATCTCGAGCACTGACAGTAGGATTTATATAAAACTTGAAGAAGCTCATTTCTTGTTTTATCTATGCGAGGCTGATACGCTGTCTTACGCTGCTCCTTGAATTTGTTATTCAGCCCCAAGCCCCCTCAGGTCGGAGCTGACAATCGAAGCATACTCGAACAATAACTGGATGCGCAGATACAGATTTTCATATCTCAAAATTGGCCCCTCTCTTACGCGCTCGCGAATGGGATTCGGGGAGTTTAACAAGGCTCTCAAGTCAGGGTATCATAGGACGGGGTGGGATGGGATGCGAGAAGTAGCTCCCAGTGG